CGCACGAAGTTCGAATACCGGCCGGATCACTTTTCTTTGCGTCAAATTACCATTGACTGAGCAGCAGCGTATGGCGAGGGGTACGCCCCGGAGATCCCTCCTCTCAATACTCCGCGGAACTAGACCATCCGGCTAGTCAGCGCTGACTTGCCGGATGGTCTAGTTTTACCAGGGTACACCTCGGTACTAGTTTTTTAGGCGGATCCAGGCGGGGCGGTACGTCAATGTGGCGGTACTTTTTTGGCGGTTGGCGGTATTTCGTTTTCCGGCGGTACCTCCTTTGGCGGTTCCCGGTACTGCCAATAATGGCGGTACTTTTTTGGCGGTACGTCAATATGGCGGTTTTTTTTAGGCGGTTCCCGGTACTGCCAAATACGGCGGTATTTTTCTGACGGTACTAAAGTATGGCGGTACCGCCTTCGGCGGTTCCCGGTACTGCCAAATATGGCGGTTTTTTGGTGGCGGTACTGAAATATGGCAAATTGACTGGCCGCGGCCCGCATCTACCATGGTGCGAGACTCGCTTGAGGATTGCAGCTCTGGTTCCCTCGTAGCCACCGATTCCACATCCACAGAATCGCTCCCGTCCACAGAATCACCGGCAGCACGCGCCACCGACAAAGCAGCAGACCCATCTCCTACACTACTAGTAGCACCGGGATTCCCCTCTAACGCGCTCATTGCTCTGCTGGGCGCTGGGGCAACTGCTGCGTGTGTGATGGGTGTGTTCAAACAGCTGACGATTGGCGACAGATGAAAGAGCTTCCGCCGAAAAGGAACAAGGCAGAACCAAAAAATATATATCATGTTATATATACAAGGGCTCCGGACTTCGGGCGCAGAGGCGCCCTCGTCCTGAGTAGTAGGCTTAAAGGGAAGGTGTGAAGGCTGTGCACAGCATACCAAGGGCATGAAGCCGCAGGGTGACCGAATGAACGGTGTGAACATGTTTGCGTTGTATTCGAGAAATGTGTCGTTCCGGGTGTAACATGAAGCCAAAAAAGTCGCGTGTACGTGAATTTTTGTCTAGCTTCGCCCGGTGCGGACGAAAAGAAGATGTAAGCGACGGTCGCCTCCCTATTCTTGCGCTGGTAAGAACGTAGTCGCACTCTCAGGCAACGTTCTCTGGTGGCATTGCGGTGGCCAATATCCTCCCCAAAAGGGGCCAAAGAAAGAACGAACACTGCAATTGTTCGACGGCATTGCCGGTAGTTGATGGTGTGTTGCCGCCTAGCTCTCATATTCTAACTTCTTCAGTGTCGATCCGCTCTAATGTCGCGCCCTTCTCTAATGGCCCCCTCTAATGACGCCGATATGCGGTACCCCTCACATTGTGAAAGGAGTCGAACACCTACAACATTCAGACAAAGTGGACGCTAGTTGAGGGTGAAAGAGTTGACGCCTCCCGCCTCGGGTCATCGTTGCCCCTTACTGCCCTGGTGGTTATTGCCGATTACCACTGCGGAAGGTATGGTTTCGTCTGCAGCCTTGTGCGCAGGTCTCGAGCTTCTTAATGTTGAAGCGCGAAGGTGATGGTCGTGATGATGTCGGTGATGGTGCAGGCGGTAGGGTGCCTGCGCTGGCGGCAGCTATTGGGGAGATGGATGTAAGAGCGTGTACGTGTCATAATGCCTAGATGATACCGTATAACGTAAAGTTAAAGCCGAAGAAAGAGGTTGTTGGGGAGGAGGAAATGTGGAGTCATTAAAGTGGATGTTTATCTGATCATAAAAAATTCGTTTAGCTGCGATGATTTCTTCGACACAGAATACTTCTCCAAATGTTGTTGGAGGTCAAATATGCGGTGGTAAGCACGTCCATGCAAGGTGAGCATTGAAGGGGCTGGCGGTTCAGTCCATGTCTTTTTTTGAATACCGCCTGCACCTAATGCAGTAAATCCGAAAAGCCCGTTGTACCTTCTTTGAGCATAAATTAATGTAGTAGTTTCGAACAGCGCCATAAGATGGTGGGGGATAGATTTGAGAGGATGGATACACGACTTGCCTTTGTTACAACAATTTAATCCCTTTTCTTCTTTCCAAAGTTGAGCATTGCAGTGAGAACATGTGATAATTTGTGGATCATCCAAATCCGTGTGTTTTAGCTCGAAAGGTGCCGAGGGGAAGTCGAATGATTGCGAGTCAATGTATTGCACTCCAAGGCGGATTTGGTTATTAGCATCACCGCGAAGGCTGTCTAGACTGGGTGCCGGTAACCTTGGTGCTCGATTCCTCATTTGGCTAAAATGTTGACGTATCATATCGAGTTCAGGGTCTGAGTCGTGTGGTGTGTTATTGTTTGCATTACGACGTCGACGTTCCGTTAGTATTTCAGCACGTCTTCGTCTGCGAGATCTTCCTAGTTCTGCGTGTTGCGCGTTATCCGGACAGGTTTGTGGTGTTCGAGTTTCAGGCGTCGTTCGTGAGTTGGGTGAGCGATCTTCGTTGGGTATTTCGACGAGCTGAAGGTGGTCGTCGAGTTGGAATTGTTTG